CCACAATATCGTATATCCTCCATATAACGGCACCTTCCGATATTCGGTATTTTTATGGCTTTAGACACATTTGTCAATGAAATTGTTTGAAAATTCACACAAGGAGTTCCTTGTAAGTACTTTATTCCCTGAGAGAGAATTATCTATATAGGTCCACGATATTGTATAGCCCCCATAGAACGGTAACCCCAATGTTCGGGATTTTGATGATTTAAGCCACATTTTTCAACGGAATTGTCTGAAAATTCACACAAGGGGTTCCGTATCAGTACTTTACCCCTGAAATAGAATTGTCTACACTATATCGTATATCCTCCATATATTGGCATTTTCTTATAGCCGGTATTTTTAAGGTTTTAACATAATTTTAAATGGTTTTAATTTTTTGAAAGTTTCCTAATTTGTTCTAAGTGGTTAAGCGTATTCAAAGTTCGACCCAGCCGAACTTACTGCTTCTTTACTTGTTAGTATTTATTTAGTTTTAGGATTGGTTTAGTTAAGTATTTTTTTTTTTTTTCATTCATTTTAATTATTTATCATTTATGCATGCATTTTGAGTCTGAACTTAGATCAAATTCGAAGAGTGATATATCTGCCAAATTTTTCGTTCACGCAATATATATCGATTCCCTCTTATTTTCAACGGAACAGTTAATATCACCTCATTTTAAGCATTTCGATGGCTTGCGGCACATTTTTCTTGAACATTGCTACGGGTGCCTTACTACGACCTAATCTGGTCGTATGTGAAAAACTTCATACTGTTTGGGCTGATATTATACGTTTGGTGCACAATAAAAAGCAAATAGGAGGAAGATATATATGGGAGCTATATCTAAACTTTAACAGATTATCATTAATTTCAACAGGGTTCGTCCTTGGGTCAAACATATTATTTGTGCAAAATTTCATCTCGATCGGGCAATAAATGCGATCTGTACTTTCTTTAGAAAATGCAGACGAGCAGACATACCACATTATGGTATATCTCCCATATAACGGCACCAACCTATACAAAAACATTTTTAATAGCTATAAAGGTCGACCGGACGGAACTTACTACTTTTTTAATTGTTTTTAATTTTTTATCACTTTTTTCAAAGGCTTATAAAAGTGTAATGTAAATAAATGGTACACGACAACGACTGCAATTGTTGGATTTTTAGGAGAAAACAGTGTTGTAATCCAAAATATTTCGATTCTGCATTGGATTTAAAATAAATCCAAAATTAATGTTTATTTAATTTTCTGTTGTAAATCATGGTAAAAGTGGAGGAATTAAGCACATTAATTGAGAAAATTCCCATAACCATCGTTTAAGGGTATAGTCTAAACGGGGCTTTAGTCAGTAAATAAACATCAAACATCCACTCCTGGCAAAGCGATAATGTTTTATTTATGTAAATTTTTTAGAATCCAAATTAGTAAAATACACTCATCAATAATATTTTGTTATTTCCACCATTTGGAACTATTTGAATATTAACAATAATGAGAGCACAAAATGAAGGATAAAATTATTTAAAAAGAAAGTAATTATTTGTCGATAATTTCCCGTATGACCATGACATTAGTCTATTACTTATGTTATACTAATTAGCGCCTGAAAGTATGCTGTAATAATAATGAAAAAAATTAAACAATATGAGTAAAGATTGAAGAAAATAGGCTGTAAAATACAGTCATTGTGCAAAGTTGCCTTTCATATCTACCATGGTAGAAGAATATAGGTAGATGGGTCAACGCTTGGGAACATTGGTATGCTAAAAGTTTTGATTTTTTTTTCAAAAATAAGAATATTTTTATGTGTTTTCTTATACGACGCCAATCGGAAATTGTTATGACATTAATTTTTCAACAATTTATACGAATTTGAATAACTTTTCATTCAAAATTTTCAATTTAATATTTAGTTTGACAGTTCATTGTCCAAGCAGCTGTGTCCATGGGACTACCTGTATTCTTCTACCATGCTATTTACCATGAATTCGCTTCGCAATTAAGATGACAATATAAATAATTGTAGAAGCATCGAACAAGGTAAGACCCCACAATATAGTAATAATAATAACAACAATATAAGTTTTTCTTATTCAGAAGACCATGAGGATTCCTATGTAGTAATTATCGACAAAATTAGCTATGAAAATGACCGCATCGGTATCAACACAGCCTCAACAAAATAATATTTAATTTGTCCATACAAAAGGTTTTGGTTATAAAAAAATGGTTTTGGTCGAATTCATCAAAATACCGAATATCGGGAGGTACCTTTATATGGTATCCTATGGTATTCCCTTCTCACAAGGAAGCCCTTGTGTGAATTTTCAGACAATTCCGTTGAAAAATGTGGCTAAAATCATTAAAATACCGAATATCGGGGATACCGTTATATACCATATCGTGAACCTATGGACAATTCTCTTTCAAGGGGTAAAGTACTCTTGAAGAACCCCATCTGTAGAATTTCAGACAATGACATTGAAAAAATGTGGCTAAATCATCAAAATCGGGCATACCGGTATATGGGGCCGTTGCTCTGCGATATTTTGGTCTATACCCGGCGAATGGGTTTTAGTTGCACTGGCGGAACATAGCGCATCTCGGTAACTCCCGATATTCGGTGTTTTCATGATTTTTGCCACATTTTTCCACGGATTTGTGGCGGAACATTGTATGCATAGATCCATATTTTCGTATAGCCCCCATATAACGGTGCCTCCCGATATTCGGTATTGTGATAACTTTTGTCACATTATCCACGGATTCGTCTAAAAATTTATATTTGTAGTTCTTAATATCTTTTCGCTCCAGTGACAGGTGGATATTCGCCACCATAAAATGATACCAACTGATATTCGGTATTTTGATAATCCTTGTCTTTTTACCACGGATTTTTTTTAAATTTGGCATTTAAGACTTGCAATAATTAACAATCCTTGTAGTATAAAGTGAATGGGTACTAAGAGAGAATTTTCCAGAACAAAATTTATTCGTGATGGAATACAAACGTGATAATGCGATTTCTTTATATTTGCCTGAAAAACTACAAGAGACTATCGTTAGAGCACTCCAACATTTAAATGTGAATAAATCTTTTGTGTCTCGTACCATCGCTCGTTAGCCCGACGTCAAGGAAGTGGACGGAAGAAAACAGCAACATCACCAGAAATGGTTCGAAAAGTAAAGAAACGTCTTGATCGAAACCCGCGTCGAAGTGGCCGAATAATAGCTCGTGAGTTTAACATATCGCAATATTCCATTCGCCAAATATTGAAAAATGAGGTCGGGTAAAGCCTTTGAAATTCCAAAAAGTGCAAGAACTTACACCGCAACATAAAGAAAATAGACTCAAAAGAGCTAAAGTGTTGCTTCGCTTGGCCGAAAGTGGTGAACTGCTGAATTTGGTTTTCTCCGATCAGAAAATATTCGTTGTCCAGCAGTTTGTAAACAAACAAAATGCCAAAGAGGTCAGCTGAAAATGTGCACCTTCGGATGACCACCAGAACTCAAGCGCCGGCCACGGTGATGGTGTGGGCCGCCATAACAGCCGATGGTCGCTCTCCGCTCGTATTAATTGACCGTGGCATCGGAATAAATGACGAATATTATCGCGAAATATTCTGGAGGGCATATTACACGCCTTGGACACGCAAACATTTTGGCCGCAGACCTTGGACATTCCAACAGGACTCAGCACGCGCCACCCAAGAATGGTTAAATAATGAGGTTCCTCGCTTTATTTCTAGTGTACAATTGCCACCAAAATCTCTGGATACCAATCCGTTGGACTATGTGTCTGGAGTATTTTGGAAAGAAAGGTTGGCACTAAAAAATATCAAAGTGTCGATCAGCTCAAGCAAGCACCAAAATACCGCAGAGCAACATACTGGCTGCGTGTGACGGTTTCATTGGCCGTTTGAAGGCCATACATAAATCGTGCCAAAGGCGACCAATTCGAAAAAATCTAAATTTATTCTTAACTTATTATTAAATTTTGATGCTATATCCAACATTTTTGCTTTCATTCAATAAAATTTAAAAAAAAAAATACAAAAATTATGGCGTTTGACTTTGTTGCAGTTTTTTTATCTCACCCTCTATACGCATTCATAAATTAGGTAAATATTTTCGCCATAGATGTTCAAAGTCATTATATACATGGACACTCTAATATTAAAATTAACGAAATTGTTTATACCTACATCCTACACCAACAAAAAGCAAGAGAAGAGGTCATTAATAAAATTTCCAAACCCCAATGGGAAGAATAGAGCCGAGAAGAGCCGCTAGTAACGTCAATTCGCACCTTAAAAAAAATATTTCCCTATCAGAACACCTTGGTTTAAAAGCTGCAATTTTAATTATTTTTCTCAAAAACAGCTCAACAGAGTAGAGTAGAGTCATTATTTTTGCAAAAACACGTTAGCTAAAATGAATGTTGTTCCATCTAATTTATGTAATGTTTGCGGGGTAGATGAAACTGCTTCCCACATAATTTTTGAGTGCAGTAGGTGCAACACCAAACGGATATGCTTCCAAACACCACGCGACGCAAATTTTTAACCGTTGAAGGTATCGTGAACTCACAAGGCTTAGAGTGTCTAAACATAATAGCCAAATTCCTAAAAGAAGCCGAAATAGAACTGTAGATACCAAGCAGATTATTATTTTAATTTTTTTAATAATAAAATTGGCATATACTGAGGAAAATTTCCTAATTTAGTTCATTACCTAATACCGCCTTAATTTCTCTATTCCAGAACCTGCAAGTGTTTAAAGTCGTAACTACGATAATCGATTTCTACTTTATCGAAAAAAGTTGCAAAACTAGCAGATTCTGAAACAGAGTAAATATTACAATTATTTGGAGAAAATAGATAAATGAAATTTTTAAATGTTTGAGGAAATTACATAGAACTTTATCCAATATTTTATTTGGTTCTGTTAGTATTTTCTTTCGAATATTCCACTATTAGGAACAGCAGTACGTAGAATTGTTAATACCAGGGACCACGATAACCACGGCCATATCCACGACCTCCCCATCCACGTCTGCCATAACCGCCTCCCCATCCTCTGTTTCTCCAACCTCCACCATATCCGCCACCATATCCACCGCCATACCCGCCACCATATCCTCCACGATTCCAACCTCTATAACCTCCGCCGTAACCAACACCACCGTAGAAACCAAAGCCGCCACCATAGCCTCCACGAGGCTTGCGTATGGCTTCCTCCGAGTGGCTATCACCAATATCTGCCATATCCATTAAATCGGTGGCATGTGAATTATCCTCCATCATCTCCCCCAATGGAATTTCTGTGTGATCTGTATTATCCTTCATCATCGGCTCCACTAAATCCTCTGAATTCATAGTATCCATCATCCTTTTTTCCAGCTCTAATGCAACCTCTGGATTCATGGTATCCATCATCCTTGTTTCCAGTTCATCATTTCCATATGAAGGAGCTTCATTTGCCGATATTATGACCGCCAATAGAGCAAACAGTAATCCAAAAAATAAAAACCTCATCTTTACACAATTTAGCAGATACACTTCTTCCACTTTCAGTTCCTTTTCGAGACTAATTTACGTTAACAGGATGACGGAGTTTATATATTCTTTGTTTCAAAAAAAGAAACAAAAGTTATGAATGACATTCGATTAACTCGGATAAAACCAATTAATTCACTTCGTCATCTAACCACACAAAAATAACATAAAAACACCAAATATTGCCCAGAAAACTTCCAGCCTAATTCAAATTCATTCATCGTACCAATAAATTGCTCGCTGGCTCTTGTCTACCAGAAGAACAAGACGACACATATTGAGTTAAGATTTTATTACAAAATAAATACAGAATAAGTATTCTGGATATCACCATTTACTTTGGTCATTTAAGATACCAATTCCTCTCCGTGGGTTGGGTAAAATACAAAAAATTGAGCAGGTGACTCAATGTTCGGGGGGGTTTTTACAGATGATCTGAATTTTTACAGTCAGTCTTTTTTAAATGGGTTTCATAGATCTTCTAAATTTGTTGTTGTTATTACTCATAAACAGGGGGCGTGAGATATGCGTAGATGAGTTTCGTTAGCTTAGGAATAAAGTGGATTCAGAGAATGAATCTATACTGAATATAAATGCATGCATTTACATATTTAATATCACTGAGAGATACATACATTTTAGGCATAACGTCTTCTTCAGATAGCTACCGTAATGTGTGTGATTCCTTCGGTCAAGCTTATAAGATGGCTTTGATAACAAATTAATTCTTTGAGTTGTTTGGCATCACCTCACACGTTTGCTGGAATTTTTTCTGATACAAACTGATGCGTAACAAGTGTCCGAGGAATCATAACTGTTCCGTACAATTTTCGTATAAGTTGATCACAAATCTGGCTTTTGAGTAATTTATACATGTATAAAGTTCAAAAAGATGAGGGAGCTAGGCGCATATTTTATTTGGAAATTCGTACTAAAAAGTGGATATTTATAGCTACATTTAATGTGGCTGGTATCTCAGATGCAGGGATTTAAGAAATGTTTAGAAGTGAAAAAAAATGTTTTGAAAGCTGTAAACTTAATAAGGGTAATGGACCCTAGGTCGATTTGGACCGTTCCGGTACATTTAGAGTCGATCTAGAGTTGTTCGTCCATCTACCTGTCTAGCTGGAGCGCTCTCGGTACAACTTGGTACAAATAATATTATCAAGCTTAGATCGAGTTCGAAGATGGCCAATATCGGTACAGTCCTTCTAATATCTCCCCCACAAAAGGTTACAACTTTAATAGAAAACAAATAAAAAATACCCTCCACCATTCGGAACGAATTTGGCAATTCTCAAAAACAATAAAATCCTTTAAAATGCTGTTAAAATCTTAAAAATACCGAATGCAGCTTTTACATTAGGGTCTATACGACGACATGGACCTGCATAGGAAACTTTTGTCATAAGCCATTACAATATTCAAATACGAAACTTAAAAAAAATCGGTGAATAATGTAGCTTAAATCATCAAAATACCGAATATCGGGAGGTACTGTTATTTGGGGACATAGGCTTTAGTATCCACTACGAACATCAAATAACAAATTTGAAAGAATTCCGGTGAATAATGTCGGTAAAATCAACAAAGTACCGAATATCGGGAGGTACAGTTATATGGGGGCTATAAGAAGACGTGAACCTCCACAGACAATTTTCTGTAATAGGCTGTGGTATCTATTTCGAATATCAAATACCAAATTTGAAACAATTCCGATGAATATAGACGCAAAAATCATCAAATACCGAATATCAGGAGGTACCGTTATATGGGGGCTATACCAAAACCAAAAGTCCTGCAGACATAATATATATTTGAGTCAAATTTTATCAATCTACTTCAATTCGTTCGGAAGCTAGAGTGATTTCCCCAGACGGACAGACGAACAGGCGGACGGAAGGACTGAGGGTAAACAAATAAAAGTATCAGTCGGTTGTCCCGCGGATGTATACCCTTAGTCCGATTAGTTAAATATATTTGGACTTCCGTTATGACTATTCAAATTGTTGACCCTCTATGGAGTAGGTTCCGAAGGAATGGGCCATTATTGTCCATTTCGTATCAGACCTAAACTCCATCAAGTACCACCCCCACAAATGCTCAAAATTCTGAATAATTATAACTCTCATAAAATGTGATGTAAGAGTCCGATTGTCTTCAAATTTCACACATCCCAATATATATATATTAACGTCTGGTGCTAAGATGGAGTATATAGGTCCACTCCTTCTGGTACCTCCACCACATAAAACCGAAATTTTCAAATAAAAAAAAAAAAAAAAAAAATATATATATATATATATATATATATATATGTATATATTCTGCACATAAAGAGAATCATTAATCCAATTTTGCTCTAACTTTGCAAATCCTAATATTTGCTTTAGTTCTAGATCAGGTGGACAATGTCGGTTCACTCTGTCAAGTACCTCGCCCACGATAGGGTGAAAATTTTGAATAACTACAACTCTTATAAAATGTGAAGTAAAAGGCCGATTGTCTTCAAATTCACACATACCAACATTTTTATTAACCCAAGGTCTGGTATTAAGATGGAATACATCGGTAAACTCCTTCTGGTACCTCCCCCACAAAAGGTCGAATATTTCAAAAAATATTTTTTCTGCACAGGAAGAGGAACGATAACGATAACGATCGCGAAATAAACATTTGATTCCATTTAGACTTGGTATATCAGAATATTTCTTTCAACACAGGATCAGTTATAAAGCATCAGACTCTCTTTATATTTTACACATTCCATTATTTTTACTTACACAAGATCTGATGTTAAGTGGGATATATCGGTCCTCTCCTTCTGGTACCTCCCCCCCAAAAGGGTCAAAATTGTGAATATACATGGAGCTCATAAAACGCGAATTTAACATCCGATTCCATTCAGACTTGGCACATCTCAATTTTTCTATCAGCACAGGAGATGTTATAAAGATTATAGATATCGGACCATTTCCTCTGGTACCTCCCCCACATAGGGTTCAAGATTTTGAAAAACAAAATGCTCAACGAAAGCGAAATTAGCATTCAATTCATTGAAAATGGAATACCTCGATCGACTATATCTGGTACCTTATGCACACTTAAACATTTTCTAAAAAATCATCACATATCTCATACAAAGTGAACGAAGAAACCAATATAGTCTAAACCTGGCACATCACAATATTTATATGATATTAATTTGGGTTCAATATGAAATAGACAATATTGGTCCATTCCTTCGGAATCTACTCCATTGAAGGTGAACAATTTGAATAATCATAAAACAAGTCAACAATTATTTTAATAATCGAACATTGGCTGAGGGTATACATCTGTCGGGTTTACAGAGTGATACTTTTTAACTTGTAATTTTTTTTTTTTTTTTTTTTTGAAAATTCGACCTTTTGTGGGGGAAGTACTTACAGCATGGGACGATATTGCTCATCTTCAAACTCGATCTAAGTTTTATGGTAATATTACGATGTACGATGTTTGGACCAAATCGGATACTCCCTTCGAGAGTTATCGTGAGCACCAGCCAGACAGACGGACGGACATCGCTAGATCGACTCCAAATGTCCTAAAACGGATTTGGTCCAAGGAGACCTAGGGCCTAAGACCGTTGTTTCGATGGGACACAGGACCAAAATACACCATTTCTAATGTGAACCATCTTAGGAATAATAGAAAAGTATGTGCAAAGTTGCAAAGACATTTCTTAAATATGGCGATCTCTATAGTGATTTCAACTGGCGGCTCATGGACATTAAATTTTTAGCAAAGTATAAGTTTTTTTTTTTTATTTAGAAAACTTATTAGTTTACAACTTATACGGCTTACTTTTGAAGGTATGCTCATAAAAATATGAATTAAACACTATAAATTTGAGGAAGAAAGGCGGCACGGTTCAGTAGTTTATATATAAAATCTTGAAAGTCTGAAAATTTAGTACGATGTATGTATGTGTGTTTAAATTAAAATTGTCAAACTAAACAAATTGTGAATTTGGAGTACTAAAATTTTCTTAATATGCAAAAATTACAAATATTTTTAAATGAGGATCACGTTTCGCTCACGCCTTCCAATAGTTTGACCCATGTTGTTGTTTTTCTCTGTTCAAATATGATTACTTTCTAAGCCCATAAAAAATTCAAAATACGCAACTAAATATCATGTATAAATATCATTCCATTAATTAATATTGATTTTTAACAGTTATGTTAGAAAATTTAACAGTTATGTTAGAAAATTTATATTAACGCGGCTACGATCATAATTTGTAATGTACGAACTTAATGTTACTACATTTACTGGATTACGGCTTGATATCAACATTTACATATTTTTATACCCTCCACCTTGAAAAGGAGGGTATTTTAACTTTGTCATTCCGTTTGTAACATCTCTAAATATTTTTCGTAAACCACATAAAGTATATATATTCATGATCACCATAAAATTCTAAGTCGATTTAACAATGTCCGATACAGCCCACATTATTTGACGTAGACCTTCAAAATTTGGCAGAACAATTTGAATTGTGTCTAGGATGGTTGGCATTGAAAATGAGATATATCGGTCCACGTTTTGGTATAGCCGCCATATAACGGTACCTCCCGGTATTCAGTATTTTGATTATTTTTGCACACATTTTTCACGGATTTGTCTAAAAATTGGTATACAGGGTGAGATGAAAAAACTGCAACTAACTTCAGACTGCTATCATATCTAAGCCACTCGTCCGACGGCTTTTTAAATTATTCCAGTGGCAGCTCATTATATTGTTTGCAAGCGTACAAAATCATTTTGGTGAGAATTTTCCAGAAAAAAAATATTCGTGATGGGATTCAAGAGTGATAGTGTGATTTCTTTATATTTAGGTGGAAAACCACAAGAGGCTATCGTTAAAGCACTCCAGCATTTGAATATGAATAAATCTTTTGTGTCTCGTACGTACCATCGCTTGTTACCGAGATACTGGTAGCGTAGCCCAACGTCAAGAAGATGGACGGAAGAAACCAGCAACATCAGCATAAATGGTTCGAAAAGGAAAGAAGCGACTTGATTGACACCCGCATCGCAATACTCCACATGACAATTATTGAAAAATGTGCTCGGGGTAAAGCCATTGAAATTCCAAAAAGTGCAAGAACACCGGAACAGAAGGAAAATAGACTCAAAAGAGCTCAAGAGTTGCTTCTCTTGGCCGAAAGCAGTGAACTGCCGAATTCGGTTTTTCTCCGATGAGAAAACATTCGTTGTGCAGCAGTTTGTAAACAAACAAAATGATCGTGTTTACTTGCCAAAGAGGTCAGCTGAAATTGTTGGCCACCAGAACTCAAGCGTCGGTCATGATGATGGCCTGGGTCGCCAAAACAGCAGATTGTCGCTCTCCGCTCGTATTGTATCAGAATAAATGTCGAATATAATCGCGAAAATATTCTGGAGGGTGTATTAAAGCCTTGGGTACGCAAACATTTTGGCCGCAGACCTTTGACATTCCACTAGGACTCAGAGCCGTTAGCGCCAAAATGGGGTTCCTCGATTCATTTCCAGCGCACAATGGCCACCAAAATCTCCGGAAACCAAGATTGGTACTAAAAAATACCAAAGTATCGATCACCTCAAGCAAGCGATTCGCCGGGAGTGGATCAAAATACCACAGATCAACATTCGGGCAGCGTGTGACGGTTTCATTGGCCGTTTGAAGGCCGTAATTCGTGCCAAAGGTGAGCAATTCGAAAAAATCTAAACCTATTCTAAAATTTGATGCTATTTCAGACATTTTTTGCTTTGAATTAATAGAATTTGGAAAAAAATAAATAAAAATTATGGCGTTTGACTTTGTTGCAGTTTTTTTTATCTCACCCTGTATGTAGGCCATAATGGGTTCTAATTCCGGTGGCGGAACATTGCATATACAGGCCCACGTTTTCGTATAGCTGCCATATAACGGTACCTCCCGATATTCGGTTTTTTGATGATTTTTGTCACATTATCTAGGGATTCGTCTAAAATTGGTATATGTAGGTCATAATGGGTTCTAATTCCGGTGTCGGAACATTGCATGTATAGGTGAATGTTTTCGTATAGCTGCCATATAACGATACCTGCCGATATTCGGTATTTCGATAATTTTTGTCACATTATCCACGGATTCGCCTAAAAATTGGTATTTTTAGTCCTTAATAGATTTTCGCTCCAGTGGTGAAATATTGAATATCTAGCTCCATGCTATCCTATAGCCGCCATATAATAATACCCACATTTACCCTCGGATTTTTTTCAAATTTGGCATTTCCGACTTGCAATAAATAACAATCAGTGTAGTATAAAATTGTCTAAATGGGTACCCTTATTGGTATGGTCCCCCATATAATGGACTCACTTTATGTTTTTTTCTTTTTTAAAGTTTAACTGCATTATCCAAACGGTCTTATTGGTATTTGTAGTTTAAAATGGAACATGATTGAATTGAATTTCTTTACCCAATGGTAGAGTGTATTAATAATTCGGCCCGGCGAACTTATTGTTTTTTTGTTTTTTTTTTTTTTTAAATACTTTATATTTTGGGGCACATGATGGGATTAATTTGTGACATTTATTGTTACCCATCTTAAATTGAGATAGGCCTAATTTTTATTATTGAACTTTCCAATGAAAACCGGTCTACCAATATAAAAGCCAATGTTTTTACGAAAAGCGGAATGTCATATGACTCGATATTTGATGTATCAGTTATAAGTTATTGTAATAAACAAACAGATCAAATGAAGTTGCGACACATAAAATTAAAATAACAAAACAAGTAAAAACGCGTTAAGTTGACCGGAAAAATATATATGTAGGTATATTTTAGGTGTTAAAACGGAATGACATTATTAATATACCCTCCTTTCCATGGACAATAATAATATTTTGCCCCCTTTGCTACACATGCATATATTGGACTTATTAAACACTGGATGTAAAACAATCAATACCACGCAATGTGTCTTCACCGAATTTACTTTTAGTAATAATATTAATAAAACAATTTGTTTTCATAAACACAAGACAACATTATTTTTATTATTCACAAGCATTTTTAAATACATCATAACAAATTTACTTCCACCAACCTCCATAACCTCCCCAGCCACCGTGGTGGTGATGGCCGCCCCATCCACCCCAACCTCCGCGTCCCCAGCCGCCATAACCGCCACCCCAACCACCATATCCACCCCAACCGCCATAGCCACCATATCCGCCCCAGCCTCCATAGCCTCCCCAGTGACGAGCCTTGCGTTCTGCAGCATTTTCGTGATCAACACCAACATCGGCAACATCTAACAGATTGACAGGTTTCGCGTCAGAGTCTCCTTCAGTTTCTGCATCTAAAGGATATGCTGCCACTAGTGCAATTATTGCACAAAATCCAAGTAGCCAAACTATTTTCATTGTGGAGCTGAAGTCTATTTGATGGTGATTTAAATCCTTCCAGGTATTCCTTTATGGAGTATTGAAAATCAACTGCACGCACTAACAGGCAGTAAGATAGCTTTTATATATTTTTTCCATTATTTGATGAAGCACTGAGAGATGTGGGCATTGCCGGAGAGATGAACCTAACACGTGCTGAGATGTAAACACTGCCAAACAACGAACCCAAAATTGTAATGGACTTGCAATAAGGTAAGCCAATGTTTTTGAAAATCCCCCTTTATATCAGAGTAGAAACTGGTCTAAAATTAGAAGTTTTGCTTGAATTATAATTTTTTATTATTGCGATGAAAGGGGAAAAAGCAAAACATCATATGACTCAGAGAATACACAGCACATAAATCTAATTGAAACAGGTAAAAATGGAGTTGTATTTGATGTAACCGAATTTTAAAGTAACATACGTTGAAGCTTTTTATAACCTACACCACATAGTGGTATGGGTATTATGTCTTTGTGTATTTGTTTGTAACATGGAGAAGGAAGCGAGGTAGACCCATAGTTACTTTTGAGGATCTCCATAGAATCACTTTCTGAGTTGATTTATGCATATCAGTCCGTCCGTCCGTCCATCCGTCCGTCTGTCCATGTATTTTTGTGAACAAAATGCAGGTCGCATTTTTTATCCGATTGAGATGAAATTTTGAACAAATCATTTGTTTGTGCCAAGGACGAACCCTATGGAGACAATCGACAAAAATGTATATGTATATATATACATAAATAAATAAATAATATATATATATATATATATATATATATATATATATATATATATATATATATATATATATATATATATATATATATATATATATATATATATATATATATATATATATATATATATATATATATATATATATATATATATATATATATATATATGTATATATATATATGTATATGTTTCATCCGATTTGTTATTTTTGTCCTCCGCAGCCGTAACATGCACTGTGTAACAACAATATTTGGGCAAACATATCAAATGCTGCTCAGAAATACCTTTGCAGAATTTTATCGTGATTGGTTCAGATTTGGATATAGCTCCCTTATATATCTTAATAACATTTCAAATTAATTTTGCAAAAGGGTCACTACAAGTCCGAATTTAAAAGATTTGAACTTCTAACTTTAAATTATATTTATAATCATATTCATATGAATTCTCCCATAAAAACTTTTTATTGTTACGTAGAGCTCGACTAAATTAGAAATGTGGTGTAGGGTATCAAAAAGTCGGCCCCGCCCGACTTTAGGACTTTCTTTACTGGTTATTTGTAGAAAAGATGTTTTAGGTCATGGTACAATGAATGCAAGTAAGAAAAATTTTAAGAAATTTGTAAGAAACGAAGTCTGAATGCATTGATAGCAATGCCAGAATTACCACCGAATCAAATGCGACAAGAGTATCTATTTGATTTTTTTATATAAATAAATAACTAGTTAACCAGTAAAGAAAGTCTTAATGTCGGGCGGGGCCGACTTTATGATACCCTACACCACTTTGCTAATTTAGTAGAGCTCCACATAACAATTAAAAGTTTTTATGGGAGAATTCAATTATACACGCTATGATTATAATTATAATTTAAACTCCAAAGAACTAAATATGCAATTGTATTGCCCATTTGGTGCACACTTAATTTGAAATCGGATAAAGATATATGTGAGAGCTATATCCAAATCTGAACCGATCTCGATAAAATTTGGCAAAGATAATTCTGAGCTGTATTTGATATATTCCCTGAATATCGTTGCTACGGAGTGCATATTACGGTTGTGGGTCACAACTACAACAAATTGGATGAACAATATATATGGGAGCTATAGTTATATCTGAACCGATCTTCACCAAATTTGGCATACTAGCTTCTAGACTCAATTCGGTTGTAAGTGTCAAATTCCATCCCATTTAGACAAATGTTAAACGTTTGGTGCACAATAAAAGGTAAATCGGACGAAGTTACATATGGGAGCTGTATCAAAATCTGAACCGATCTCGATAAAAATTAGCAAATGTATTTCTGACCTGTATTTGATATATTTCCCTAAATATTGTTGTTACAGAGTGCATATTACGGCTGCGGAGGACAAAAATAACAAATTGGATGAACAATATATATTTGAGCTATATCTATATCTGAACCGATCAAATTTGGCATACTTATTTTCAGGCCTAATTTGGGTGTATATGCAAAATTCCATACAATTCGGGCTGATATTACACGTTTGGTGCACAATAAAAGGCAAATCGGGCGAAGATATATATGGGAGCTATATCTAACTTTTGACCGATTATCTCTAATTTCAATAGGGTTCGTCCTTGGGCCAAACAAATGATTTGTGCAAAATTGTGCAAATTCTCGTTTCCTTTTGCCTGTTACAAACAAATGCACAAAGACATAACACCCTGACCACCTTGTGGTGTAGGGTATAAAAAGTATCAGTCGGTTTTGCGACAGATGTATACCCTCAGCCTATGTCAGTTTATTAAAATATGTTTTGACTTACATTTTGTTTATTCCAAATGTTGACCAATATTATCCACTTCTCATCTGAACTAACTCTGATATTTATATTACAATGTGCCCGATTTGGATATATCGAAAACTACCTTTACTTTATATGAGACTTGTGATTTTTTTTTGGAATATGGTGAGATATGCGTGAAGTTGCTGATATCATCGTAATGAGTAAGATTTATTTTAGAAAAAAAACCATGATGAAATTTTAACCATACAAATTTTGTGTATCTTCTACACGCTTTGGACGCCAGTTACAAGTATTTTGTCTGATGCTTTATCAGCGTAATAATTTTCGTAAAACACTGCTTAACATTTTTCAACGGTCTTTTTTTAAATACACCACACAGTTTACAATACAGTTGTTTGCGATTAAAGTTCCATAAGAAATGTGACAAAATAAATCGGGAAAAAACATAAAAATTATTATTTTGTGTGACACTCATTTTTACAGTTAACATTCAGGAAATTCATGGCATTGATAGATGTTATATATAACTTCAGCCTATGAAAGTTAAAAAAAATAAATTGTCTTACTTTATGATTAATCAAAATGTTGACCCTTTAAGGAGGAAATACCGATGGAGTGGACCAATATTATCCACTTCGCATCTGACCTAATTCTCATATAAATATTACGACGTAGTAGGTTTGAGCTGTATTGGGTACTTTCTCCACTTTATGGGCCATTAAATACCATATTCACATCAGATCTTGTGTTGGCGGAAATATTGGAGTGTGCCATGTTCGGAAAGAATCGGAACCTATTTTTGCATTTTATGTGGGTGATGAAAATTTTTACCCTTTGTAAGGGACGTACCAGAAATGAGTGGTCCAATATATACCATTTTTATTCCAGACCAAGGAATATAATACTGGGATGCGTGTAATTTGACAACAATCATCGGATGCTTATTTCAATTTTAAAAGAGTTATAAATATTCCCTTTGTTGGGGAGGTACTTGATCGAGTAGGGCGATATTGTCCATTTCCACACCTGATCTTCCACTGATAAAAATATTAAAAATTTGCACCAAATTGTATGATATTTCATTGTTCTATAAAGTAAATTATTGTCTTTGAAAATGTTGACATTTTGTGTGGGAGGTAGCAGAAGGGGTGGACAAAAGGTCAACACTCTCAAAGATGTTTGTACCACTCGAGCAAGTAATTAAATTTTACACTCAAATTCGAGAGCAATTTCTTACGGAAACCCAGTTGTACAAAACAAACCTTCTGTTTTCTTTCGAGTTGCCAATTTTGTTCAGGTAAAAGGCAGAAAGAGAGAGAAGGTAAAAGGCAGAAGAAAACCAAAATTGTTTTTTATGAGTTGGAAACGAAAGAAGTCTTTCGATTTACCTAGAAGAAGAAGCCATTAGCCGGACTTATTTTCGGGATTAAATCCTAAAGAACACATAGTATTTCATTATATTTACGGTATTTTATCAAATTTGAAGGACACAAATTATGCGTTTGCAAGTGTTTAAATATGAACTGCTTCACATGAAAAGGTCAGGCTATTTAAAAATGTTATTTGTAATGTTAGTAAAAATTTTATATACACATGTTACATACATATATTTACAAACAAATGAAGACACTTATTGAAATTTAATTTTTTTTAGTCATTAAATATTGATATTCATTTCATAGTCATACGGAATATGTATTATATTTTGTCCTTCAGTGTATTATATATTAAAAAAGTTTTGCCTAAAGGTATGCTATAAAATGTTTCGTGAAAAAATCAAGAACAAGTAATGCGACTAAATAAAACTTGCCACTTTCAAAAAATTGATATTATTACAATTTACAACAAATATCCCGGAAACCTTGTAGTCACAGTTCGCAAAACCACATCATTTTTGGATCTTGAAGCACCTTATCGGACCGCATTCTAGAGATTTAGTGAAAAAATTGGAAGTGTTGGAACAAATTAGTGATGTGAAGAATTTAACCAGTGCACGTCGCCCAGGAAGAACTGAAAATATTGTTGTGGTAGCCCAAAGTGTTGAATATAAGTAAGATATGAAGATTCCTAATGGAATTTATGATTTCAAAAACGTCATAGCATGGCAATTTGGAAAAAGATAAATACAAGATCTCAAGCCGACAGGACCGAATTATCTCTCGAAAAGAGGATCACAATTGGTAACCAAGATCTTGTGATTTATTTCAATGTGCACAATTTATTTTCATTAAGATCACAATGTATAATGTGTGATTAAAAGTTAAAGCCTCAAAAGGGTCTTGGGTCCCCGGGCCAAATATTTAGGGCTCATTACATACATAGCTTTAGCCATACATAAAGGGCCTCGAATGTTTTGCTGCTTACTTTGCAAAATTTAAGGTAGAGCTTTGATACAAGCCTTTGGGCTACATGTGGAATCATTTGTACTAAATAAGGGTATACTCCCATTTCAAGCACTTTTACGTTTTTGTAATATGAGTTCTTAGTAATAGAACTCATCCTTGCAAAAAATGTTTTGGACCACGTTTTGGTGTAACCCTCATATGAAGGTTTCACCTGATCTTAGGTATTTCCGAGGTCTTGAACACATATTTCAATTAAAGAAGTAGATAAACTCTTCGAAGAACATTTTCAATGTAGGTAGATGTTTCAAAGTAGCGGCCATTTAATTTTCCACCTGATTTTTCCTATTTCGAGGGTTTGGACCACATTTTCTACTCGATTTGGTTGTAAAATTTGTTTTAGGAACCTAAAACCTTATAGGCATTTTTATCTGCTAACCGAATACCGTTTTTACCCAGTCTAATGTCAATGGACTGACATGGCTTTTTTCTCATTCGATTTTTGTATTTTTTTTTATTTATTAAAAACGTCGAAATTGGTCAGTTATTGTGAACCTTTGTGACACGAAATAGCTTAACTTAAATCTATTCTATCCCTTTTGTGAGAAAAAAAAAAAAAACAAATAAAAAAGCTGTAAGTTCGCCCGGGCCGATTCTTGAATACCCTCCACCATTTGGAACGATTTTGGCAATTTTCTGTTAAAATCTTTAAAATACCGAATGTAGCCGTTATATTAGGGTCTTTACGACAACGTGGACCTGCATAGGCAACTTTTGTCATAAACCATTACAATATTCAAATGCGAAACTTTAATAAAAAAAATCGGTAAATAATGCAGCTAAAATAAAAATACCGAATATCGGCAGGTACCGTTATATTCGGGAGGTACCGTTATATATACGAAGACGTGGACCTGCACAGACCTGCACAGACAATTTTCTGTCGAATGGGGGCTATAGGAAGACGTGGACCTGCACAGACAATTTTCTGTCATAGGCTGCAGTATTCATTACGAACTTCAAATAGCCAATTTGAAACAATTCCGGTGAATAATGTCGCTAATATCATCAAAGTATCGAATATCGGGAGGTATCGTTATATGGGGGCTTTACGAAGATGTGGACCTGCACAGACAATTTTCTGTCTTAGGCTGTAGTATTCATTACGAACTTCAAATAGCCAATTTGAAACAATTTCGGTGAATAATGTCGCTAAAATCATAAAAATACCGAATATTGGGGGTACCGTTATATGGAGGCTATACGAAGACGTAGACCTGCTTGGACAATTTTCTGTATTAGGCTGTAGTTTTCATTACGAACTTCAAATATCAAATTTGAAACAATTCCGATTAATATTGTCGCTAATTCGTTCGGAAGCTAGAGTGATTTCCACAGACGGACGGATATAGCTAAATCGACATAGAATTTGATGCTGATCAAGAATATATTTATACTTTGTGGGGTCTAAAATGTATATTTCGAGGTGTTATAAACGTAATGACAAACTTAATATACCCTCCATACTATGGTGGAGGGTATAAAAACAAGAAGGTATAGTTATGTGGGTACAATAACAAAAGTGGACCTACCTTGAATATATTTTACAATTTGGTTAGAAATTGAGACCAAAAGTTTGGAATACGGAAAATCAGCAGAAACTGGTATATAGGGGCTACACCTAAATTTAAACCGACATAGTCCATTTTCAATATCAAATATTTTAGGTTCACTAAAATATGTATCAGAAATTTCATTAACTTATCTGGAAAAGTGTAACCTCTATCTTAATATGATGATTTAGTTATATCAACTTAGAATTGTATGCTGATTATATCAACTTAGAATTGTATGCTTGTGAAGAACAGTACATTTTTTCGATAAAAATATTAATTGACTTTGTACACTTTCCTTAAAAGTCGGCACAATAAAATTATACGATTCTCATTTTATTCAGTGAAAATATTTAAAAAATATATTTATTTTTTTTATTATAGAAATGGATTTTATCCCCAGTAATAACCCCATGGGCGATGGTAACCATATCCTCCATAGCCATATCCTCCGTAACCATAACCACCATAGCCTCCCCAGCCACCACCCCAGCCCCAGGGTCTGTAGCCCCAGCCAAAGCCCCACCTGGCTTTTCGATCAGCACTGTTCGAATGGCTATCACCAGCATCGGCAACATCTGACAAACTGATGGGTTCATCCAAATTATCCACATTTACATCCTTGGCAACGGTATCCGTATCAGCGGGTAATCCGATTACTGCCACGACCGAGGCAGCCAATACGAACACTATTAAGAGTCTCATTTTAAACGGACTTTACAACTTTTGATTTGAATACGAAGCGTTCCGATGTGTACTAAAGATGAGAACAAACTCAAAACTGCCAATCGTTTGTGAAAAGAGGCGTGTTTTTATATGGCATCTGTCTGCAATCATCCTCATCGCCAGTTGCATTGCAGAACTATGACAAATATTTTTATGACGAAAATTGTTGAAATGTTCTTTTTTAGTATTTTTTGTTGGCTCATGAAGATCACACGGGGGATTATTAAACGTAATACCTGGGCGAGTGCTTAATTCGAACATTGTTAATTCACGCCTTAGTAGCCCCTCGCTGCACTTGCATCCCCCCTCATGCATTTGAGTTGTGGTTTACAGGGATTATTACTTTTTTTCACAGCTCTCTAAGTGGAATTAACACAGCCGTAGTGCTAATTAAACTGCATCTCGAAATTATTGAAAATATTACGATCTCTTATTTTTACATTTTTCAAAACCAAATAAATTTTTCGTGTTGGTTTTTAATGGTTTGTTTTGCCTAGTCATAAAATGTTTATCGAAGACAATAATTATTCGCCTCAAAACAGAGTATTTTTATTGGCATCTTTAACGAGTTTTTAGTTTAGGTCTATTTATGTAAATAATTGTTAAATTTTTTTTAGTGAAATAAGGATTTTTTCTACGAAATATTGAAGTTTTCCTAGCATTTGTTTAATTTGAATATTAAATGGGGGTATTTATGGGTTGATAAAAGCTTTACGAGATCTTTGTTTTAAATGACGCACGTTATGTATAAATTCGAAATTTAATGTACCTTTGAGAAATATTTGATGCATATAATATTCCGAAAAATAATAAGTTTGATGTTGAACATTAGAGTTTTGATTCATTTGATTCCCTCAATATTGATCTATAAATATTAAAAGGTCACAAAAATATCCCGACTTTTGGTAATATGGCTGAGTGAATTATCAACGCCCAAGGGGAACGGCTGAAGCTAGAATTTTGACATTTCCTATTTGTGTCAATGTTGTTGGGCAGGTGTGTTCTAAGCTTTTTGGAAATTCGGTGTAAAAGTACTAAAAACTCTAAATTTCTAGCCATTTGGTACCAACATTAAGTTTGGTAAGCAGTGTTGAAATAAGTTGGTATTATTTTAGAGATGTGTACTAAGTTTAGTAACTGTACTAAATGTTACTAAATTCGGTACAATTTGGTTCTCGTTGAATGGATTGATCTGGAAATTAAAAATATTGGTATTGCGGTCTGCTGCTGGGTAGTGTTAAGATAAAAAGTTGGGCTTCGAATCGATGCGATCAGCATGCGTACTAAATGGTTCTAAATTTGATATTGCGTGATGGGATACTGCTTAAAATCGGAAACTTGGCATTAAGATACTGCTAGGGTTGAGATCTTAAGATGGTTTTGGTAATACGTACTAAAAAGTTCTAAATGGTAATAAATTTGGCTGCGTAGACTATATCTATATAGCCCCAAGGCAGCTTGTCTATGGCTACATAGACTCCCTGGCCCCGTCACCAGCTCGTCTATGGCTACATAGACTCCCTGGCCCCCTCACCAGCTCGTCTATGGCTACGTAGACTCCCTGGCCCCGTCACCAGCTCGTCTATGGCTACATAGACTTCCTGGCCCCGTAACCAGCTCATCTATGGCTACATAGACTCCCTAGCCCCGTAACCTGCTCATTTATGGCTATATAGACTCCCTGGCCCGTCCCAGCTCATCTATGGCTATATAGACACCCTGGCCCCGTCAGCAGTCGGTCGGTCGGTTTGGTTAATACATGGCGGGGTATTTGGAAATACGTACTCGAAAGTACGAATAGTACTAAATAGTATTTTCTTTGGTATTTGTGGAAGGAATAGAGCAGAAAATCTGAAATTTGCAGTGACAGCCTTCGATGTTGTATAGAATAGACAAACAAAAGAGGTTTTCGGAAATGGGAGGTGATTTTTGAAATATGTACTCTGTGTAAGGACTGTAAAAATGGTACTAAATTTGGTACAATTCCGTATTGGGAGAACGGAAAAAGCTGGTAATTTGAAATGTTGGTATTGGGGCCACTACTAGTGGGAGGGGTTAAGGTAAAGAATTGGGGTTGGAAAGTGGGGTTCGGAAATGTGTACCACAAATGCACGAAATTAACTAAATATTATTTTATTTGTTACAAGTGGGTAAAATTGGGTATTAGGGTTCATGTATAGCCTGGACATATGAAGTTGGTTTCGGAAATGTGATCGCAGAAGCGAATTGATCGAAACCCGCGTCGCTTTGGCCGAAAAATGGCTCGTGAGCTGAATATGTCGCAATATTCCATTCGGCAAATAATGAAAAATGAACTAGGGGTATGGCCATTGAAATTCCAAAAAGTGCAAGAACTTACACCGCAACAAAAAGAAAATATATTCAAAAGAGCTAAAGAGTTGCTTACCTTGGCGGAAGGTGGTGAACTGCCGAATTTGGTTTTCTCCGATGAGAAAACATTCGTTATCCAGCAGTTTGTAAACACATAAAATGATCATGGTGGCTCTCCGCTCGTGTTAATCGACCGTGGCATCGGAAAAAATGCCGAATATTATCGTGAAAAGATTCTGGATGGTGTATTTAAGCCTTGGGGGCACAAATATTTTGGCCGCAGGCCTTTTAAATTCCAGCAGGACTCAACACCATCGCACTCAGCACGCGCCACCTAAGAATGGTTACAAAATGAGGTTCCTCGCTTTATTTCCATCGCACAAAGGCCACCAAAATCTCCGGATACCAATCCGTAGGACTATTGTGTCTGGAGTATTTTGGAAAGCAAGGTTGGCACTAAAAAATACCAAAATGTCGATCACCTTAAGCAAGCGCTTCGCCGGGAATGGGCCAAAATACTGCAGAGCAACATTCGGACAGCGTGTGACGGTTTCATTGGCCGTTTGAAGGCCATAGTTCGTGCCAAAGGTGACAAATTCGAACAATTCTAAACTTATTCTAAAATTTGATGCTCTTTCCGACATTTTTTGCTTTCATTCAATAAAATTTAAAAAAAAAATGTATCTTTTGTTTGAATACTTAATTTATTAAAAAAATATTTCGTTTTCGACATCATCATTCTAGAATGATACTTTATTAGAGATTTTTCTACAAACTCACTAAATTAACGTCTTTTACCCTAAAATAGTTTTTAATATAATAATTCCTGGCGTTTCGGTCAGATTTAGACTCTTGGCCTTTTCCCGGTCCTATAGTAGAACTTTATCGATAATCACTTTGTAGAATATTTTGACTTGCTACGATCCAGTTTAAAGGAAGTTTTTAACCATATTTTAAAAACAGGACCATTTGTTAAATAGCTTGAGGGTTAAAATCTACGTAATAAGTCGTATTTTATCTGCAATATTGCCGAATACACTATATAACTAAAATGCCCGGATTCCGAGGAATTTTAATCCGAAAATTTCCAAAGGTGCTTTGGTCACTTTTCGATGTAGAATTTCAAAAGGCTCTACTTTCTCTTATTTCTAGCTCTACTCATAATCAGCTGGATTTTTGTTGTTGCACAGTGTAATTGTTCTAAAAGTACTAAATGGTACTCAATGAAAAGTACTCAAATGATCTGAAACTGATTTCATTCACAGATATATGGGGTCTTAAACCTTTCTTTCAATGAGATACACTTTTGATTTTATCAAATAATGTAAGCATACCGTCTGCTGTCATCAGGCTGAGGATCTGAACAACAGAAGTGAAATTAACTTTAATTTTAAATAAAACACTTTTGATTTTAAATAAATAAATAGTTTTATTTTATTTACTTCAACATTACAACAATCAACATGGACCAAAACAACCAGGTCCCCAGCCGCCATTGCCTCCCCAACCGCCATAACCGCCCCAGCCAACTCCCCAGCTCTTAGAGACACTCCAACCCCAAGGTCTGTATCCCCAGCCCCAGCCATAACCCCATCCAAATGGTTTATAGCCCAAACCAACGGCCAATATTCCACGTTCTTTGCGCTCGGCTTCATCCGAGTGAGTTGCACCAACATCAGAAACATCGGAGAGACTGACGAGTTTATCGTTCATTTCTTCTTTTTGACTCTTGACAGCTACCGGATCCACTGGTGTTGCTACTGCGGCCGTAATAGCCACAAACAGTAGCGATAGAATTAAAATCCTCATTTCGGCCGTTTCTGTTTTTGGATTTAAATATTTATTTGTTATTTATTTAATTATTTTAATGCTTTGCAATATATTTGTTAACTGGATCAAATTACGGAAAAGGTACGTTTATATATCAATTGTTGTCGGGGTCAAAATTCAAATTAGAATTAAAAGTATATTTTAAGAAAACCAGCTTTATCTTTACGTAAATCCATTAGCAAATATTCAGGTTTTAAAGTGTTTTGAGATTTTTACACACATTGAGGTCAAAGGAAATGTTTCTTATTAATGATGAATTGACATTATATTATTATTATTACTTCAGGAGACGTCTTAAATATATATCGTGGTCAAACAGGGTAAGATGACAAATCACCCTGTATCACCACGATATACCCATATGGCCAAAACTGCAACTAAGTTTATACTGTTGTCATTTCTAAACCACTCGTCCGATAGCTGTTAAAATTATTCCAGTGACAGCTCATTATATTGTTTATAAGCGAACAGAAGCATTTTAGTGAGAATTTCCCAGAAAAAAAATTATTCGTGATGGGATTCAAGCTTGATAGTGTGATTCCTTTATATTTGACTGGAAAACAACAAGTGGCTATCGTTAGAGCATTCCAGCATTTAGATGTGAATAAATCTTTTGTGTCTCGTACCATCGCTCGTAACCGCTACCAGTAGCGTAGCCCGACGTCGAGGAAGTGGGCGGAAGAAAACAGCAACATCAGCATAAATGTTCGAAAAGTAAAGAAACGACTTGATCGAAACCCGCGTCGCAGTGGCCGAAAAATGGCTCATGAGCTGAATATATCGCAATATTCCATTCGCCAAATATTGAAAAATGAGCTCGGGGTAAAACGATTGAAATTTAAAAAAAAATTGTAGAGATAGATAATAAAATGTACTGCCAATTTAGTTGAGATTTATGGCTAAAAGTCTCAAAATACCCAACCAGTTAGATTGGTTCCAATCCAATAAGAACTTTAAATCTCAAATTATAGACGCTCGATTGAATATAATGAATAAAGTCTTCAAAATACCGAAAATCAGGTGGTATTATTGTAGGAGAGCTTTAAAAACTTTTCGTCATTTATTTAAATTTTCCCTAGATCTCAAAATATAAAAATATAAAATGGAAGCATAGGAAATAGTTTAAAATATCAGTCGGTTTTTCTGACAGATGTATACCCTCAGCGGATATCTCTCTGTTTACATATATGTTGACTTGCGTTATGATTTTTGAAGCTTTTAGCACTTTATGGGTGAGATTTCGAAAGGGTTGGCCAATACTGTCCATTTAGTATCTGACCTAAGTCATGTACTGCGTGGAAAATAACAGAAGGAGTGGACCGATATTTCCCACTTCACTATACATCCTATCCTCATATCAGACCATGTGTTGGTTTAAAATAATCGGGCACTTATTTCATATTTTATAAGAGTTAAAATTTTTCAAAATGTGGACCTTTTGTGGAGAGGTACTTGATGGAGTGAGCCGATATTGTCTATCTTCGCACCTGACCTAGCACTGATAAAAATATTAGGATTTGCAAAAATTGCATAAAATTTAATGCTCCTGTCTTGTTGTATAAGAAAAATTATTTTCTGTGAAAATTTAGACCTTTTGTGGGGATGTAGAAGTGGATCGATATTGGCTATCTCCGAGCTTGATCTAAGTTTGATAATATTCCGAAGTGCCAAATTTGAAACAAATCGAATGCTCCCTTCGAAAGTTATCATGTTTTGTCCGTTTCAAATGATATATGTATAGCCCCTGTAGCCATATGGCTGAGGATATAATAAACATATAGAAAAACAAGTAAGCAAAGGCTACAGTCGAGCGGGGCCGACCGTTGAATACCCTACAACACTATAAAAAACGATACAGTTTATATATGCGAGATACTCGAAAGAATTCCACAAGATATTGTGACAAATAATAAAAGAAAAACATTAGGTTTCGTTCTCTAATTTTCGAATAACTAATTTGCTCATTTCCAATTTATTGATAGATGTTGCACGTAAATGGTCTTCCTAGATCTGAACTAATATTTCCCAAAGACCTATAATCTCTCAGAAGTGGCAAAAGATTAACATTTATTATTGGTTTTTGACTGAAACGCATCTATATGAGATACAGCCATTTGACTATATTCTTCAACGAAATCAGCGTTAACGAAATAGTCAGAAGTGCGTCTTTCCTTTATTTGTGAATTCTCCAAAAAGTCACTGGAATGGACATTTTTGTATTTTGTCTACAAAAGTTGGCAAACTATTTCACACATTGAATATTTTTGGATGGCCATCCAAAACTGCTTGGCTTTTGCAATGTCCGGTAACCCCCATTCAAATGTGCGTGAGGATCAGGCGATAAATACGACCGGCTGACAATTTTGCAGTTTTTTGGTCCATTTCAACCCCTAAATATATGGCGATCATCTCCAAAAAGAGTAGGCTTCTATTCTGACCCTCATCTTATCCCCATGCAAAATTTTGTAATGATCGGGCCATAAATGTGATCTGTATATGATATCCTGATATCCTAACTACTTAGTTTTGTTAGCTGTAGAAATATTACCAAATGTTTAATTCAAAATAAAATTATGCCAAAAATATGACAAAATTGAAAAAATATGAGAAAATGTTACAAAACCAATATTTTCATCTTTAGAGAGATATTTTTATGCGATTTTTTTAGACGTTTTTTCTTTCCTGCCAAGAGGCCATTCTGAATTAATGAGAACTGTCGAAATCAGTTCAGCTGTTTTCGACATATAAGAGATTTTTCAAGCATATCTTCTTTGATAAACATATATATCGCACATATTTTGCTATATATCCGATTTGTTGGATGTTAACATCAATGTAAAGGTCAGAAGTAACCTTGTCATGGCTTTGTGAGTTCGCCGGGATTTAAAATATTCGCGGTTTAATGAAAAATTTTGCATTTTTTCTACACAAAAGATATGGTCTATTTTACCCTCTAAACATTATCCGATGACCACCCAAATTGGTAGGCTTCTTCCCCGCCCTAAACTCTAGCTACATGCGAAATTCCGTGTCGATTGGTCTATAACTGCGACCTGTAGAGCAACTGGAAAATCAAGAAATTTTTCAGTATTTGGTCCATTTCAACCCCTAAATGTTATGCGATCATCTCCAAAAGAAATAGGGTTCTATTCTGACCCTAGCCCCACCTGCATTCTAAATTTGGTGAAGATCGGGCCATAATTGCGACCTGTAGAGTGATTACAAATTAACATGGACAGACGGACAGACGGACAGACGGACAGACGGACGGACGGACATACATAGCTAGATCGACTCAGCTCGGCGAGCTAGGAAGATCCATATATACTTTCCTATGTGGGAAACCAATATTTCGAGGTGTTACATAATTTTTGGCCCAATCAAACTTATAATACCCCCAACACATAGTGTTGTAGGGTATAATAAATTAATGCAAAGTCTGTTCGACGAATCAAGAAGAGGTAAACGGATTATTTTATCTTTTCGAAAATGATTTGACAAATATGTCACCAAGTGCAAATTCTTATACGATTCGGAAATTTACTAAAGAGTTATGGTGAGTACAACTCAGAAAGACGGAACTCAATTCCATGACTGAGCCGAGTTTAAACATATTAAAGCAAATTGCGTCCAATCTCGGCTACAGAGTCGGTGTCTAGCAATTTTGTTGTAGAAAAAATCTGAATTCTAAAAGCATAGACTCCCACTTTAAATATATATTTATTTTTTTATCTCCTACACCATATTTTTTTATCTCCTACACCATTCCTTTATATTTGACTGGAAAACAACAAGTGGCTATCGTTAGAGCATTCCAGCATTTAGATGTGAATAAATCTTTTGTGTCTCGTACCATCGCTCGTAACCGCTACCAGTAGCGTAGCCCGACGTCGAGGAAGTGGGCGGAAGAAAACAGCAACATCAGCATAAATGTTCGAAAAGTAAAGAAACGACTTGATCGAAACCCGCGTCGCAGTGGCCGAAAAATGGCTCATGAGCTGAATATATCGCAATATTCCATTCGCCAAATATTGAAAAATGAGCTCGGGGTAAAACGATTGAAATTTAAAAAAAAATTGTAGAGATAGATAATAAAATGTACTGCCAATTTAGTTGAGATTTATGGCTAAAAGTCTCAAAATACCCAACCAGTTAGATTGGTTCCAATCCAATAAGAACTTTAAATCTCAAATTATAGACGCTCGATTGAATATAATGAATAAAGTCTTCAAAATACCGAAAATCAGGTGGTATTATTGTAGGAGAGCTTTAAAAACTTTTCGTCATTTATTTAAATTTTCCCTAGATCTCAAAATATAAAAATATAAAATGGAAGCATAGGAAATAGTTTAAAATATCAGTCGGTTTTTCTGACAGATGTATACCCTCAGCGGATATCTCTCTGTTTACATATATGTTGACTTGCGTTATGATTTTTGAAGCTTTTAGCACTTTATGGGTGAGATTTCGAAAGGGTTGGCCAATACTGTCCATTTAGTATCTGACCTAAGTCATGTACTGCGTGGAAAATAACAGAAGGAGTGGACCGATATTTCCCACTTCACTATACATCCTATCCTCATATCAGACCATGTGTTGGTTTAAAATAATCGGGCACTTATTTCATATTTTATAAGAGTTAAAATTTTTCAAAATGTGGACCTTTTGTGGAGAGGTACTTGATGGAGTGAGCCGATATTGTCTATCTTCGCACCTGACCTAGCACTGATAAAAATATTAGGATTTGCAAAAATTGCATAAAATTTAATGCTCCTGTCTTGTTGTATAAGAAAAATTATTTTCTGTGAAAATTTAGACCTTTTGTGGGGATGTAGAAGTGGATCGATATTGGCTATCTCCGAGCTTGATCTAAGTTTGATAATATTCCGAAGTGCCAAATTTGAAACAAATCGAATGCTCCCTTCGAAAGTTATCATGTTTTGTCCGTTTCAAATGATATATGTATAGCCCCTGTAGCC